GATTTATAGGATCTTTGAAGGTCTTCGATTTTGACATGCGATATGATGAACTCGTGGTCAATGTGTCTGATTTCTTAAGGTGCTTTGTGGGTGTCACGTGACGTCCCTCAGTTATCATCTTCCACGTGCTCTCCAGTGTTGCGTACCCCTCCAGCTCCGTCAACCTTAGTGCTCTCACATCTGGAAAATAAAATGGAAACCATCATAATTTTATTTTCGAAATAACAAATTACTGAATGAGAAAATTTTGATTGAAAATTCACTCACCTTCAGGATTGGCTCTGTTAGGGCTCCGATGACCGAACTCCGAACAAACCAAAGGCTTCTCAGGCAACAGAGACTCCGATTGAACCTTCCGATGAATTATCTTCTGCGGTGGAGTGCACGCAGAACTCGAGATATCAAGCTCATCGTCACCATCAGATTCGTACTCAGTATCAATATCACCAGTTTCTTCTTCATTTTGATCAAAATCAGCTTTTACGCCATTTATTAGCACGGGCTTCAACTCCACGATCTCGTCTTCACTATCGTACGCCGGCAGTGGGGTTTCCACAATAGTTTTGATCTCATACGGAACTGGCGGAGGTGCTTTGTCGACTAAAACTAACGGCTCAGATGTAACTATGTGATTCCTCAAGGAGGCGATGATAGTGATGATGATGCCATTTACAGTAAAATATAAATAAGGAGGCTTTAGAAATGACACAACGATGAACCAAATTACAGATGCTTGATTACATGTGAATTGTACAATGAAAGAAGTCGAGAATTTAATCCCCAAAGCAAAAGAAACAAGCCCAAATGAAATTAGAAACACTTTGAAGGATAAAATCCAAGAACCCATTTGAACAAATCCTACTGTGGAGTGAGATTTGTAGGTATTTAATTCGTGTGTTATGAGTTAAGAATGTATCAGAATATATAGGTAAGGACAGGATGAATTAAGGTGCATGGCTAACCTACCATTGCCTTTTTAGCATATAGTCGATGGAAAGGGTTTCTTTCTTTTTTTCTTTTTTTTCTTTTTTTTGTCATCCTATAATTATTAATTAATTACACACTAATAATTTTTCTTTACATTTATTTAACTGGGCGAATTGATTTTCTTACTGGACCACCTATTAAGTATTAACTAAGATTATTGCATTTATCATATATGATTCACCATAAAATTAATATTTATATTTACATACACCCCCCGGGGCATAATCCAGTGGTGCAAAAAATAGGAGTGAGGTAGTTCCAGCCTTACTGACAATCGCAGTGTGGGGATTCGATTCTTATGATATCGAATTGAACTCTTTGTAAGTATCAGTGTATGGGCAAGTTCTTGTTCCCTGACCTTTTGGGGCACATCCCGCGATTTACCTCCCTCACAATGCTTCAGGGACGAGGCCGTGGAAGCCCTCAAAATTAGGGTTCAACCTTTTTTTATATATTTACGTACGTAGTGAATATCCTGAGCCACATTAATAAACCGAAAGAGAAAGATTAAAAGAGTACAAAAGAAATTAATGAAGGTCGCACATCAAACTGAGGATAAGCAGTTAGTTAAGTTATAACTGCCAAAGTATAGAATTTGCAGCCTCCAGACCCAACCAAGTACCCCTCTTCGAATATTCTTATTCTATTGTTTTTTATTTAAGGTTAGAACAGAGCGTATTATCGCTGTCGCGGACGGTGGTCGTGTCCACAATTCAATAATTTATTGGATAACACAGTAATTTTCAAGTTTTGACGCATATACCGTTTAATAGTCAATATCAGATATACATACATGCATTATCACCTTAGCCTGTCGGCAAACAACACTTTTTTCCTTCATTTTTTTTTTTTTTTTTTTTTTTTTTTTTTG